TTGCATTGACATTCTGTGCCTTTTCTGTGTCTTGTCTACTTCTTTGCTCTTTTCATTAGATCCTCCTACTACTACCACTCGACTGCCCACGGTTCCCTGGCATCCTTCGACTGATGGCATCACAGGTTTAGCAACAGAACCTAGAGTAATAGATTTCCCATCATCAACTTTGCCAGCAATGCAGGAAGACACTTGGGGTACTGTCATCGGTAGTGCTGTGGGTGGGGCCCTCTTCCTCATACTGGTCAGTGTTCTGGTTGGAATTATCTGCTATAGGAGAAGACGGACGTTCCGTGGTGACTACTTTGCTAAGAACTACATTCCACCATCAGATATGCAAAAAGAGTCTCAAATAGATGTTCTTCAGTCAGATGATGTGGATTCTTACCCTGACAGTATAAAAAAAGAAATAAAGCATCCAATGAACAGCTTAATATCTAAAGATTATTTAGAAGACCCTGAAAAACCAGAGTGGAACAATATAGACAATATTAACAGGTACCAGGAACGTTATGAAAGACCGATGGATTACTATGAAAGTGGAACACTGGGGATGAAGTATATGGGTGGTGTTTGTTACGATGACAATGAAGAAGACTTTGTTTCTCACATAGATGGCTCGGTAATATCCCGGAGGGAGTGGTATGTGTAGTAGCCACTGAAAACAAAACTTGTATTCACAGTTCGTTTCATTGGCTGATCACTTTCAGATTGTTTATACTTACGGGGAGGAATAAACTTTTTGAAACTGATTTTTTTTGGAAGGTTTTTATATTGTGACTTGACAACTGCAAATATTGAATTTGGGAGAAATGTATTTGAGCTGCTTTTTTTCCCTATGTTGTACTACTGTCTTAGATTTGGGTTTGAAAGCAGAATGCTTATAATACGGTTTATGTCAGAGGTTAAAAAAGAAAAAGCTAAATTAAAGTTATCAATCAAACTTGTTAATGAATATGAAGTGGCTGTCTTGGGTCTCTGATTTAAAATTTGAAAAAAAAAAGTTTACGTAGTGACCGAATAAAATTTTGTGGGGCATTTATTTTGCAGATGTAGTAAGTGAATTACTCAAATCTAGCTGCCATCTGTGGTAATCTTAATGCTTCTATATAACAAATAATTTACCAGTTACGATGAGTTACAGTGGCATCAAAGCTTTATTTTTCATTTTCTTTCTGCACAAAAATGAATACCTCTTAGCATTTTAATGAGCCTTCTTGTAACGATGTACTTAATAGAAGTCATTGCACTGAAAGTAACTTATCTATGAACAAGGTTTTGAGAAGTAACTGTAAACTAGTAAAAGGCTTGTTTGAATAAGAAAATTATTTTTGTATAGTCATTGATTTATAAATCTTATGTGTATATATACATACAATATGGTATTTTGTTAAGCCTGTACTTGTCGGGATGTCAGAATCTTTTATTGAACATCAGTCTCCTTTTGCAAGTACAGTGAACCCTTTCTGAAATGGGTATCTCAAATTTAAACTGGATGCAGCTAGTAAGAAAGGTTCAATGGATTTCTAAGCTGCAGGTAGAAACCAACTTGAATATTTTCTGGGATGCCAATAAACATTGTGTGCAAGAGGTGTCAAAATGTTTGCTGGAGTTTATACAACCAGAAGCTAAAACAATGGTTTTACTCTGCTTCTGTGTAAGTTAGAATGTTTCCTTTGTTGAGAGTATCTAGAACTTTAGATTATTATTAGGGAAGTGAACACTTACACAGCTGCTTCATGTAGTGAAAGCATGCAATGCAATGATGCAACTACAGAATCTTGTAAGACAGCAATTGAGATAAAAATGTGCAGTCTCTGTACTGCAGTGGATTTGTTTTCACTGCAAACAATTTAGTGTTTTAACAGTGTGCTTGAATTGTAGGAAAATGGATTCAGAATAAGAAGGAATGGCGTGCAAATGCCATTTTAAAATGTCTAGCATGGAAAAAAATGAAGCTGAGAAGTCTTAGGATTTGAAGCATGAAAAAGTGGAAAAAAAACCCACTTAAATTTGAAATGAAATGGGTCACATGCTTGCAGCTACTTCATGAGTGGAGTTTGTTGCTGGAATTACTTTGCTATCCTCATGATCTTTGGTAGTTTAAAGCATTTAAAGCTTTACAAAAATAGCTGTTTTGAGTGTTGTAGACAATACACTGTGATTGCATATGACTGCATGTCTTCAAAAAAAAAAAAGATTAAAACAGTTTTATTTGAAATTCAAATGGAAAACCTTCCCTAAACAACTCAAGTTCACATCTGGATTAATGGAATACTGATACATAAACCAAAGTCTCAAGAACATTAGAAAATTATATTGTGTATCAGTAGCTAGAGAGCAAACTCAGAGTTTGTTTCTAGCTAAGGGTTCTGATGCAAATTATTTTTGGAATAAAGAGACCATACCTCTCTTCAAACAACAGTACTTGATATATCATCTTTAAAAGATGGTGTTACTTAAAAACTGTACAACCATAAACATTTTCTCCACATGGTTTATCTTTTCTCTGTGGAGTTTTTTGTTGCTTTTTAAAGAAAAGGATATATATTTAATTCCCATTGGTTAAGAAGTTGAAGTGTTTTGGTGTTGAAACTGATAATAGGTAGAGGGCATACAAGTGTTGCTATGTTTTTGTATATTATGTCTGCTGTTTAAAGAAAAAAAGATTGTAAGTATAAATGGCTGTTGTGTGAATAAACTTTTTATTACATTCTCGAATATAGGTAGTGTTTAAAAAGTTTGACAGACACACTTTAAAACAAAACCACAGGCATTAGGAGCTATTCTAATTAGACTGTTAAAACAGCTTTTTAGCATCTCCTCTTGGAAACCCTAACCTTTCAAAATGAGTTGCTTTAGAAATTACTTGAAGACTATGAACCTTAGGAATAAGGGATAGTTGCTTTCCATACAATTGCACTTCAAGCACTGTAGATGCACTGTGTAGGATAGAATTTGGGAAAGAACCACCACAAAAAAAGGCATCCTCTTTACTCAGCTGCTGTAGTTCTTCTTTAACTATGCGTTGTAACTTCATTCCCATCTGCTTACACCTATTGGTGATCAAAGAACGATGTAGCTGATGCTATGCATCTGAAGTGCTCTCTGGCTTGTTATCTTCTCAAAGTAGTCTGGGTTTTCTTATTGTTCATCTTATTACACTGAAAATCTGTTATCTGGTCAAAGCAGTTCAGAAAAGTAAATTAAGTGAGCACTGCAATAATTGCACGTTGCTTTTTGTGTGCTTGACATTTACTTGGATATTGCGGTGTTTCCTGGATGGAAGCGAATGGGTGGCTACTTTTCTCACGGCAGAAACAGAGTTCTGTGTCTAAGCTTTTACTGAACCTAGTCCTATGTATTAACTTCTGACAACACTTCCTTAAATGAGATGGCACTGAGTGTAATCTAAATTTAAGCCATTTAAAATGCAGCAATTGATCTTCCTGTTGTCTGATGTGCCCATTTTTTATTTTTTTTTTTTTATGAGAAGAGGGGAATTAAAGTTTTCATATATATGATTCTTGCATATATGCTAGTATGTGACTGGCAAATAAGGCTTGTGTTAGGAAAGCTGTATGGTAAAAACAGTTGTCACCTAAAGCGATACATTACACTGATTTTTCTGTAACGTATTTGTTAAAATTAAGGGATAAACTCATAACTTCACAAATTAAAAAAAAAAAAAGCACACAACAGCAAACACCATCTTAGTTCTTTTTAATACAGTTTTTTCCTGTTGTTTAAAAATGTCAGTGGTTCCAGGGGATTACTGTTGCCAGGACTTTCATATGCTTTTTTCTTTTGAACTCAGGGATGAGTAAAGGGGTGCTTTAGTCCAGTGTAAAATGACATTTGAACTGCTGAAGAGTAATTAATAAAACAGCTTATATAGTTGTTTTGTTCTTGGATGTTTAGGCAGCTGAAAAGGCTCTTAGAATTCCCTCAGCTAGGAAGCTAAATTGAGGAGGATTGTTTAATGTTCAGAGAAAGGATATGAACATTTCTGAAGGGAAATAAATGGGGTACGTTGCATTAGAAATGTAACTGTAGAGCTGTGTTAACTTGAAACACCTTCATTGCTGTCTTTCTGATTCTGTATCAATACAGATCTGAACAGTTGTTGCTGTATGCCACTAGTAATTTACAAATAGTGGTTTTAATGAAGCCCGTGTGAATTATTCCTGTTGCACAACTTTTGGATAAGTTACTGGAAGTTGGGAATGTTGAATCTAATGTTGAAGCAGAGCTTGCTAGCAGGTTCACATTACTTTTAGAAATCTTCTACAACTTAGTGAATTCCTGGTGTAGCAAAACAAGTGATGTTTAATGACTGACGTGTGCTCATTCAGTATGACGGTTTGTTATGCATAAGATGTAGCACTGCTATAGTCAAATGAAAAACACCCTTTTTTTAAAAGAAAAAAATGTTGCTGTTCTTTACATAGCCCCCCCCATCAAGTTTAATAGTACAAATGGCTGTTTTTCCTAGTTTTAGGTAGTAGAGAAACATAGCCCTAGCAGTTGCTTTAAGTGTGAGCCAAGCATAAATGAGTTTGAATTGTTCTTCATAGTATTTATTTTCTTGATTGTATATTTCACTTTTTCCTTCCTGTAGACTTAATTTGAAGAGATCACTGATAATATTATAGTTTTTCCACTTTTTTTTAATTCATACCTCGTTCATGTAAATAGTATGTGTTCATCTTCATCTTGCCTTGAAATTTAAAATTGGAGCACATAGCTAGTATTTTTTTAAAAGTAGTCAGTGAAGTGCTAGAATTGATATTCATGACTTAAGTGTTTGCTTAATTTCACCAATTTTTGAAATGGGCGGCTGGAGCAAGGATCACAAAAGTGCTAGCTAGTACGGGAAGTGGCTTTCTGTTTGGTGCTGGAGAGAAGAGGCCTTCCTCAGAGCAACACTGAAATAGCTTTTTTGAGCATTGAAAGTATGTGAACTTCATAAAAGTGTAATCTATGCTATCACATTGCAGATATGCCATTTAAGCAGACATCTTCTGTTGCTGTAGCAGGGGCTGTGATTGGAGCAGTCCTTGCTCTTTTTATCATTACCATCTTTGTGACAGTGCTGCTGACCCCAAGAAAGAAAAGGCCATCCTATCTTGACAAAGTGTAAGTATGTACTGAATTTTTTTAATTGAGCACAATGTGTAGAAAATACTTAGTTGATATTGTAATTCGAATGACTGAGCTTCTTTAGAGTCTGTAAGTGGTCATGACTTTAGGGCTGTATTCAGGGTAATCATGTAAAAACCATTTGCTTTTTGTAATGAAGAAGCTAAGGATTTGTTTCAAAGGTAGTAAATATTCATTTACATATTCTTCATCTTAGTTCTGTTTTATATTTTTCTAATTGCTTAGAGTTTGAGCTAGAGGGTAGAGGGAGATCCATCTTGACTTGCCACAGACATAAGAACTACTGGTTTATTGTAACCGTAGCCCAAATATGAAAGTAAATTTTTGCTCTGTAGAAGTAAAGGTCCGCTAACATTTATCTTACTGCGCATGTGAAATGAAGCAAGCACCTATAGGTACGTATGCTCAGGAACAACTGACTTAATGTGCTTCCTGGCACGTTAGTTGTTAAGCTTCTGATACAGCGCATGGTTTCTTGTGTTAAGCACCAGACGTCACAGAATTGTGGGGGTTGGAACGGACTTCTGGAGATCATCTAGTCCAATCTCTCCTAAAGCAGATTCCCTGCAGTAGGTAGTACAGGGAAGTGTCCAGATAGGTGATATGGACGTGCAAAACTAAGCTAACAAATTCTGGAGGGATTTAGTCCACGTGGCTACCATGTAGACCTGATTTGGAGCATGCGTTAAAAAGTGATGGTGGTGAATATCTGTAAATAAGTTCTTGGGTTTTTTTCCACATATACTGTACACAGTTAACACTTAAATTGTATGGGAAAGGAATGTCCCTCTTCTTTTAATGCTTATTGAGGACTAGAATAATATGCTTGAATCTCTCGATCTTGGAAGAGTCAGGTGTTACCCTATAGATGAGAAACTTCTAAAGTGACTAGAAATAACTGCTTGGCGTCTGTTTCTATTAGATTTTATAATTAAAGAATATTTGCATGAAGTCTTAGGCATTTAAGTTATTAGCCTTTTGCTTTTGCTCAGAAAGCTCATAACCAATTATGTGCAAGACTTTAGTTACAAGCCTTTTCTGACCATTCAGCATGATTTACAAATATGGCTTGTCATCCTCTCATACCTTGATCTTTTTTAATACAGGATTGATCTTCCACCCACTCACAAACCATCTTCACATGAGGAGAGAGCATTCTCTCTACCACAGAAAGAAACTATGATTCAGGTGAGTAAGGGATTATACATAGAGATAGAAAGTGTTAACTTTGGGTTACTTTACTTTGAATTTTCCTTGCTGATAATGTACAGAGACTGGTGGTTCATAACTAAAAGGTTTCTCTACAGATGTGATATCTGAATGTTTATGTTTTCGGTGTTAATGTAGTCTTCAAAGATTTGGGAGCTGGTGGATAGATCCTTTTTGTATCTCTAATACTGTTTGGTAGACTTCGTTACTATTGAAGTAGAAGTTATGCTTGAGATTCTGTGGTGATTCAGGTAATACATGTAGCTTGATTTAAAAAAAGCACCTGTTGTATGAGGAGCATAAACATATATTGGACTTAACAAAAGACTTGAGCACCATGATCTTTTTTTTTTTTTTTGCTGGTAACAATTGCTTTTTTTTATAAGTTACTATGGTTTGAGTGGTTGGAATATTTTGGTATTGTGGCTTTGCTGTCATTAACTCAGAGTATGCTTTTTTGATTCTCATTGGGAATCACAAAATCACTAAAGTGTCTGCAATTATCTGTCTGCTTCCTTTTTTACTTGAATATATAAATCAGTGACAAAAGATTTTACATTAACTCCATGACAAGTATTTGAATTGTTAGTAGTGCTATACAAATGACAGTGGTCTGTGTTTTTTAAAACACGTGGCTGTAGTCTGACATGGAAGTCTTAGTTATTGATGTTCTTAATAGCACTGGAAATTCTGTTGAAGATCATCTACAAGTGATTTCTAGATACTAAACCTTCCAAATATGAATTGCCAATAAAAGCTTTCCTCTACTGTAAGTAATGCATAAAAAGAATATTGTGCATTATAGATAAAAAGCAGAGTAACAATTGCTAGTGTTGTTGCTGAGTGAAGTGGGAATCTGAAATTTACCATTGCTAGTACAATTATATTGATATGATAGTCCAGAAAGTTTAATTGGCAAGAAATATGGTGAGTTTTTATCATTTGGTCTTAATGATGGTGTAAAACATAAGGTAACGAAAACAATGCTTTTTTCTTGTCAGGTTGAGTACCTTCTTGTGCTTACAATGATGTAACTCTCCTGACATTAACTTAGTGAATGCAATACTGATGGATCATACTTGTGTTAATACAGTCCTATACTTGAATTATGGTGGAAAATTATCTTGTGTACTTAATCAAAGGTATGGACTATTTTGAGTTACCAGCCCATCTATAGTGCTGCCAAACAGTGAAGTGATAACAAAGAAATGCAGTTCTTTATCCTCTACAGGGATACTCACAGAGTTCAGTTTATACTCCTTTTATGAACTGTCTGCTATCTGCATTCTCTATGGTGATGCTTACTGTGGATTCTGTTAGTATTTCAGAACTAAGAAAAACTGCAGTTGACTAATTTTTGTTCAAAGAACAAAATGTTTTATTCAAATACATTTTAATATTAAAAAAAAAACCCTCATTTTCCTCAAACTAGGTATGCTTTTAAGTTGTTTTGGGGTAGTGAGGAGAGATCTAGTTTTCTTTGAAACCAGATGTTGACTTTAAAAGCAAGAGATTTTGGCATAACATTGTTAGCATACTTGTTTCTCTTTTATGAAATTCTGTAAAGCTGGAAAAAAAACTGAAGCTGGAGGCTGTCTTCCTAGCTGTTAATGATACTACTCAGAATCATGTTCTGTCTGTTATGCTTTTGAGGCAAGTGCTTCTGCTTAGTCTAACAGACATGTCAAAAGACTACCTGTAGTCAAGACGTGATTGGTTGCATTGTTTTGTTTAGGAAGCCAATAGTTGAATAGCTGTCAAGAGGGGGAAAAAAACAAGTTAGCCTGTTACTGTGCCTTGTCTTGTTTGACAAAGTGTCTGTGCTAGCCATGCCGTTGGTTCCAAGTGCTGCAGTATCTGGACAGACATAAGAATTGTGCTGGTGAGCCTCTACATAAAATATATTCAGGTGAAAGCTTCCAGTAATGCTGAAAGGAATGGTGGATTAAGTGTTGCTGTATTGATGACAGCAATAGAGCACATGAAATCTGAGCAGAAATCATAGACCACACAAAAGTGCAAATATAGAAGGATAGTGAATTGAAATGGTGTCTTCAGCATACTCCACCAGCTGAGCATCAATTTAAGCTAATTGATATAATGTGCAGCTTTGTAAACTATTTCTATGGTTATTGTTCAAGTCAAGCGCAGTAGTGTTTTGGGTCACATGAAGTGTCTCAGATGTAACTGAATAAGCTGAAGTTATCCTCTTTGTGTATCAATAGAAGGTCTTTGAATTACATTTTATCTATATTGGAGCATTATTATTGGAAGTTATTTTTTCTATGCTGACGTTTGTGAATACCAATTTGTACATATTCCTATGTACCTTTAATAATTTGAGGAATTATGGTTGGCCCTAAAAGAGTGGGGGAGAGAGGAGTCCAAATCGAAGGGATATTAAATGGAACAAAGAAAAAAATGACTTTTTTTTTTGTTCCTAGCAATATATTCAAGTAAACTTAAAAAACACATCTGAGGCGGGAACTCTTTTTTTCTTTGTGAAAATAGTAGCTATGTCTGTCTTGACAGACCTTTCCAAAAGAAAGATACAAAATCACAAATGAAGTATATTTTATAATGCAATGCATGAATATTCAGATCTTGATGTACCAAGAAATTATTTGAGCTTTTTGTAGCAACAGAAATAAAGAAATACAGTTCAGTAGGTACTCCTCTACCTGAGGAGTCTGGCTAGAGACTTGAAACATCTAAGAATACCTAATATACTTAGCTAAGTATTGTGGTTTAGCCTGACAGGTGGCTCAGCACCACACAGTTCTTCACTGACTTCTACCCCCACTCCACAATGGGATGCGGAGAGGAAACAACCAAGTAGAACTTGTGGATTGAGGAAAAAACTATTTACTAAGATAGAGGAAAGGATAATTATAGGACAAATAAAAATAAAGATATAGCAAGTGATGCAAAAGCAGTTGCTGACCTCCCACAGAGTGATGTTAAGCCATTGCCTCCCAAGCATCTTGAGAGAGAGGTGAATTTCAAAGACCCTTCAAAGCTCCTTCTGTGTGATGTCATGGTATGGAATACCTCTCTTCCCCTGTTTTGAAAAGGAATACTTCTATTGCCATTAAAGAACTTTAACTTTTGATTGGATAGCTTAGTGTCTTAATTTCAGCTGGCACAAAGCTGTTTTCTTCATACAGCCTGGCATGATGCTGTGTTTTGGTTCTAGGAGAAAAAACAATGTTGATAACGCATTGGTGTTTATAACTGCTAAGCATGTGGTTCAGAGCCAAGGCTGTTCTCAATGAGGGGCCCAAGGAGCTGGAAAGGAACAGAATTAGGACACCTAAAAACAGACTGTGAGCTTGTATAACACAGTTAAAAGCATAAAATCGTGTAATGGCCTTGAATGGGTGACAATATTTTTGGATCAAATTTAAAAAATAATAAATAATTTTCGGTAGTCTCAATTAAATAGCATAGTCTTTATTCGTTTATAGATTGACTCTTTTGTGTTCTTCTAGTTTTTTTCCTGATGGTCTTAATACAGGTGGGTCTTCCTTGAGGGAAAAGCAAGCATTGCTTTAGGCAGAAAGAACTGTTTAGGCAATCAAGATAGAATAGAAGAAAATGGGAAATGTAAATAGGTAGTTATCTATACTGATGAAGGATCTTAAAATAGGAGAAAAATATTAAACTGATAGGGAGTAGGATGAAGCACTGAGTCTTCTATTAATGGACTTCGAATGTATGAAGGCAATTTATGCTGTATGGGATGGATTCCCATAAATTAAAATTGTTAAATGTTGTTGGGATTAGATAGGACATCCTTATAATCTAAATCAGAAGAGATGAGGGGTAGAGCAGTGCAAGATGAAGATGCTAGTGAGATAACTGGTTTAGTTCTTTAAAGGACTGTTTGAGAGAGTACAACCAGAGTAAAATTCAGTGCTCCTATGTAATACTGAAATACATGAAGATAAGCAAATGGAAGCCTAGTGTACATAGAAGAGCTTAAAGCATTGGGTGTGTAGTGTGTTTCTGTATGTAAGCACTGTTGGGTAGATCAGCACTAGTTTCCTTTGACAGAATATGATTCTGAACTGTCACTTGCTCCTTGGCAGTAACATGTGGAATTCCAGTCTGTTTGTAGTAAGAGTGTTGTTTTCATGCCCTTCGAGAATATTTCCTCTGTCAACGATTTTAACTGAATAAATGATCCCAGTGGAACTTTGTTTTGTCTTCCTAGAGTTAGCCTCAGTCATGTCTAAATCCACTGTTGGTAGAAATTCTAGGGCACATGGACTTCTCCTCCTCCTAGAACCACTCTTTATGTGGTGAATTCATGTTGTTTGCACTAACATGAAAGAGTACTGCATTTCCTAGTTAGTGATACATCATAGTTTGCATTGAACTATGGATTACAATCTGAGAATTTAAGTTTAAAAAAAAAAGTATGACTTTGCAGTGGTGGGAGGGGAAGAGTTAATAGGAAATACAAAGCAGGAAACTTGACAGAAGTTTGGGGAAAAAATAGGTCTGTGAAGACAGTGGAAAAGAATAGTGAAGGAATAGGGGAAAAAAAAAGCATGAGATATTTATCAGCTTGCTTCACCATGCATTTGCAGATTAGGTTATAATTTAAGTAGCTCAAAAGAACTTAGTAAGGAGTGATGATACCGCTAAAGTATCATATATCACTAAAGGAGTGATTTCCACTAAATGTGGAAATAATAGAGAATTGAATTGCTTGCTTAGAAGGGCATTACAGGTTTTATTTTTGTAAACCTAAGATTAAGAGGGAAAAGGAAAAAATGGTGTAACTTCTGGATACTCTGTATCACTTGTTATATTTTAAATCTGTAAATGTTTGAAGAATGGGGTTCCATGGGACTTAAATATCTGGGCAAATGTGTTCTCTGTAACATGTGCAATGTATTTGGTGAAGCGCAGAAAAGGGGCAAGTAAGCATTTGTTACTAAAATAATAGAATTCTGTCTCCCAAATTAAAGGTAAGTATACAAAAATACACAAGAAGAGAAGTGGCATTTCGCTTGAAAAGGTATTCTAAGTTAAGTCAGTTCATCAGTTTGTTTGGAAGTTTCTTGTATGTTCCTCTTAGAATAAAGTGTTCCTTTCCTTTTTTGTGCTTTTGTTCTTTGTTTAGGGGTAAATCAGGCGTTTTTAGACGTGGACTCTTTTTCTTAGTCCAAAACTAACTTTCTATGAACATTGTGTTTAAGCTGATGAGTGCTGTAACTAGTAACCGCATGGGAATATTTTTCAACTTGCATATGTGCATAGCTTGCTCTGAACAGTGCCTCCTATTTATTGCCATGGAAACTGCAACAGGGCACAGTAACACTACTTGACAGAGCAAATTCTTCACTACAAAATAGTATTCTTTCAGCATAGGTGGCACCATTAGCTATGCATTTTTTGCTAGCAATGAACAAGAGCCTGTGTGCCTATCCTGTCAAAATAGGTACTAGCAGAGGTGACATGCTGTTGCCACTGCAGAAATACCACCCTCGACCTCACTGTGCTCATATTCACTGTTTGGTCTCATCAGTGTTCAGCAACTGTAAGTGAATGTCAAGGAGTGCTGTTTTTTCCACATGGAGGAATTCAGTGACACATCTTTGCTTCATATGCACTTCCGTGTCAGATGCCATTTGGTCAGACTGCCCCTCTGCTGCCATCTGTCACATGGCAATGACGTATAATGGAATCTTGGCAGAAAGGTTCAGTATCTGCTGCCATGTGGTTGACACCCACCTCTGATGTAGTGGGGCAACATAATAATGTAGACATCACCTTCAGAGCAGCTCTCATAGGCAGATGCTAAGAACAGTGAACTGTTTTACTTGAAGTTATGAAGAGGAAGCTGTATCCAACTAAGTAGTTTTTTATGAACAGTACACAGTTATAGCCTCGTTGTTTTTTGTTTTGCAGTGAACACCTTTATAGATATTAGCTCTATATAGTTTGATGGTTATTTGTTAGCTTTGATTTTTAATGGTTCTTTTGCTCCCAATGCAATGCAGTTGCCATCGTCCTGTGGAGATAATTACAGGCACCATATCTTTGTCAGCTGTTTCTTTCTTTTTGTCATTTAATCCTATAATTACTAAGATTGTGCTCTGATTGTCCACGAAGTTTCACTTTTCAAGGCCTTTCTCAGGCCATTGACTGCATAACCTCAAGCTACATTCTGGTTGCCTTTGGCCTCATAGCTTATTCCATGTTCCAATAATGTTTTTTCAGCTGTTTGCCTGCTTGGTCCCCTTGAGGTTGCTGATGGCCAAACAATGGTAAAGCTATGAAATGGACTAGTGAGAGACTTGAACTAAAGCAAGTAGTCATAAGGTGCAGAGTTGTCTCTTTTCTGAATAAATTTGACAAGTTTACATAGCTTTCAGTGACAAATTAGTTGTTACTATGAAGAAATCTCCCTTTACTTGTCTTCTTTACACCGCATAGTAAGACTGCTGGAAGACATTATATAATGATTCTTTTCCAAAACAACCCTAGAGATTGATAGAGGGTTGATTCTTTAAACAGAAAGTGACTGCAAGAGTAGAATGTATGTTCATCTAGATCTTTGCAGAGTAAGGTTTAAATTTTGGAGTGAGGTGGAACAATTTCTGTGAGAAGTGCTGCTACTGGATTATGAGTTTAATGGTAGAAGTTGTAAGACTTAGCGTGGGCGAGACATCAAGACCATGCACATGCCTCTTGTTTCTTCCTGTATCTGTGCTGAGTTGTTCAGATAAATTCATATCTGCTGAATCTAACAGTAGTCTCACTTCTGAGATGCAAGCAAATTTCCCCTTTAAACACAGCACATCAAAAGTTATGCAAGGCACTTGAGCATTGTTTAGCATGATCAGTGCTTGAAGCAAAATGAATGATGACTGAATAAAATGGTTGACTGTTCTGAGAGAGAATACAGAAGGGCAGATGTTTTTTCTCTTATGAAGTGACAAAGCATTACACAGAATGTTCTCTGCCTGTTGATTAAGACAAAATATGTATTTGCAGAAATGTGCTTAAATATTAAGAAAGGTTGCAAATAGAAAAATAAGATAGCCCACTGTGGGGAAAATTGCTTGTAGTCCAAGCAGGTTTTGAAGAGAGCACCTTCACTAGCTGTTCAGGCAAGATATAGGTGATTGTACTTTAACCAGATGTCTGGAGGAGCTCTGGAAGTTCAGTTCTATCATTTTCTAGCTTGTTTTCAATAGCATGCTATATCACTATATCAGCCTGTAGTGCTGGTTTTCTAATAATAGATGATAACCAGTAACTTTTACTTGCTCTATATGTGCATGTTAACCGTACAATGTTAACTACTGATAATGAGCTACGTTTAGTTTTTTCTTCAGATGTGTAGATGACTTTAAGCATAGCTTGTTATGGAGAATTTATGTACTTCATTATGGTTTTAGTTATCATTAATATGTAACTCATATACTAAATAAACCACAATTATGTCCTACTTATAGTATCGGCAGTAGTAATAGTCACCATCTGTTTCAAAAGCAGTATAACACACAGGAACTTGCTAAAATAGTATTTTCTATCATTGGTACATCTTCAATCTTTAAGATGTCATTTATCCCTTATTGAATATTCTAATGGTCAGGTGTAAAATCTGTGTTTTAGCATTTTTTTGTGCTTGTGTAATTATTGATGCTTTTGTTCTGTCTGCTAGCAGGTACACTTGAATCACGAGGCGTGCTGACTGTTGATAACGTTTGTTTGCTGTGTATGTTGCATCTGAAAGTATCAAAACAAAACAGTTACAAAGCCCCTGTGCAGCAATAGTTGTGTTATGAAATGTATGAGATACAAGTAGGGCAGAGAGCAATTACTGTTTGCTATCAGAGAAGCTCTGTTTTCACTGCTTGTCTTGGAGAAAACTGTTTAATAGGATAGTAATTGTCCAAGTCTTTGATGAGTAGATTGATAAGACTGCTTTATTGCTGTAATGTCTTTGTGGTGCTGATGAGCTTGGGAACTTCAGTGTTAAGCTGTCTGTAAAAAACTGTGTTAGTCTTAGTCACGATGCTGTTCTTAAACCAATGAAGGGCAGAACTGCAGAATTGATTTTAGCTACTTTTGAACGTAAGGACAAGTGATCAAATCAGACCCAGTCAGGTGGATAAAGTTGTGAATATTCTTCTGTTACATAACCAGTGTTCCAAAGGACTGGTTAGTTTAATTAAGCAGAGAGCTCTTGAGTTAGAGAAGTTCTTCTGCATATAACCATATAGAGAGAAGGGATGCCATCCAGAGGGACCTGGACAGACTTGAATTGTGGGCCCATGCCAACCTCATGAAGTTCAGCAAGGCCAAGTACAAGATCCTGCGGCTGGGTGGGGGTAATCCTAAGCATATAATTTGAAGACAGACTTTAAGGGACAAGTTTTGGCTTTGTGGAACAAGATCATAAGAAAAGATCTAGGCAGCATGCACTGCCAATAGGAAAACTAGTCAGCAAAACAGACTTAAGTAGATGAGCTACAAATACATCTATGCTGCTTTAATCAACAAGGCGAAAAACAATTTAATTTGTTTGGGAGACTGCCACTAGAAAACTGTGTTTTTCTGAAGAGAAGGCTCTACTTAATTTCATCAACTTGAGAAGCAAATATGTTGTCCCCTTCAACTTTCAGTAGCATACAGTTAAGTTGCTTTTCTGTTAACTACTTCTGTGCGTTGTCAAACTCAGCATTTAACCATATAGCTGTGGAAACTTTACCATGCTTTGAATTTCACATTAGCCTATTTTGTCTAAGATCGATGTCATAAATTAAAACTTTATAATTTTTCTTCAACGTGCTTGTGTTGAAAGTAAAAATAAAATACATGAAAATAATATTTCTAAACTGACAGTAGCATTTTGCTTCCCAACAGAGACGAGTTGGTAAGAAGTATTTTAAAAGGTGGTCAGTTAAGGCACTTTGCAACGCAGAATGCATTTTGTAATGAATAGTGTTCTTTGTGTAAAATGAATCTGTTCTACAGTGTTGAGTTTTGACTTGCTTCCACTATAACTTGTTTTTTTCCAGAAAGAACATCTTGCTTTGCAAAGTCAGTATGGAGAGAAAGATACTGGAAACTTGCAGCACATGGTAAATATTCAGATAGCTTGAATTCTTAATCAAAGCCTTGATTTCATCATGTTTCTTAAAATAAGGGTAGGAAGATATTTCCTGCTAGGAAAAACAAAATATTTGACCATCCTAGTCAGTAACTATTGGGTACGTGGATCTGCCGTCCCTCAGTGAAATGGGTCAGTATCACTTCAATATCCGGTATGTCCTAGTTTTGCTGACTAATTCAAATGTATGAACACTAGAACTTCCAAGTTCTTGTTTGAGGGGAAAAAACATTGCAAAGTACAGGAAGGTTTGACAGTTGCTTTCATAATTCTGTGTTTTGAACTAGAGTTAGAATTTATGTCCTTTGAAACATATTTTGACATCAACTAAATAGTTACTAACATTTTTTGTCATCTAACAGTCTTAGTGGTTGGAGTTCTTAAGTTCATGCTTCTGAATTTTTGGGATTATTTTGGAGATCATACTGTTTTCATTTTCATTAAAACTAACAAGATTAGGTACTGTGAGCTCTATACGTGAACTATAAAACTGATTATTTCTTATGTGTGCTTAGAAAGCTGTGAATGAAAGGCAACTTATCTACGAGGCTGAAGAGCTACAGGAACAACAGTGTCTTCAGCATATGTACCCTGTTTATCAGCAGATGTACTACAAAAATTGGAACAGCGGGCACCCTCAAAACTCCGGATCTGGGAGAGTCTACATCAATCCAAGGGAGCACTATGTATGATTATGTATACTTCAAGGTGTGACGTTTTACATACTTACTGGCCATAGGACCAGTAAGTCTTGTTGGCTTCCATTTCTGAAACAATTTTTTTTTTCCTGTGGGAAGAAATTGCATGGCAGTTTTGTATAAGTAAACCTTATGGAATTTGTGACTTAAACTTGCTTCTAGCATTTTGTATGTATTTTAGTAGTTACAGCACAATGTCAACCTGTCGAAAGAGGAGAAAGCTATCTAGCTTTATTATTTATCCTTTATAGGCTTCAGAAGTATAATTTACAGTTCAATTAGTTGACAGACAACAAAATGTGCTGCCCTTGTTATGTATGATTCCATAGGGAATGCTTTCCCTTTAAATGGATATTTTGAAATTACTAACTTTTACATAAGTAAGGTAAATACTGTCAAGGGAATTGGATCCGTGGTGACATGAGTAATCTCAGGCTGTGAATCAATTCCTTTGCATCTTAGAAAACTTGAGATAATTATCATTTTGACTAGCCTTAGCAACTGGTTTTTCCACTGCCTCTACCTCTCTGAGTCAAATGAGCAACTAAACTACCTCTCAAGTACTAAATTACTGTTTTATAAATTGTTAGGCGTCTTCTCACCTTGTAAAAAATAGATGCGATTTCTTTACGTCATCAGAAGGTTTTCTCCTTTTTATTTGGATCTTGGCCATGAATCAAGTAGGTCTATATGAAATTTATTTGCTGGACGAAGATTAGGAGATAAAACTATCTGAAAGTGTCTTACGTTTAAGTGTATTTTAACTACAAATTACTGTTTGGCCTTCTTCCTCTGTGAAGTGTTGTGGAGTTTCTTCTTGCTTGGCAGTTAATACATTTTATGCTCTTTGTGGTAAAACTACTGCAATGAGGCATTCTCATGTCTTAGCAAGATAAGTAGAGCTTTAGTAGTCTTCAAGTTTCCAGCACCATTTTCTAATCTCAGCCAGTACTATGAAATAACTGCTGAATGTCCCGATGCCTCCAGTGCTAACATTATTTCAGATAAATTTTTATCTTTGTGGGTAATGGTTGAAAAAACTTGCTCAGGATCTTCTTAAAAAGGGGGAAAAAAAAAAAACAAAAAACTTTCAGAGTAAAATAAATATTCTTCAAGTAACAAAGTGTATATTTGTATTAATGCCAAAATGAGCTCATGGGACTTCCTATTCTTGCTGTTTTAAAATACTTCACGTTGCTGACTGGAATTACTCAGAGAAACTTGCACATTAGTACGGAACAATGATTTTCAGTCAGATTACTTTAAGACACATTAAGTATGTCTCTTTCTGAACTAATTGTTGTAACAGATTGAACACTGCTTCTTAATATTTGTGTTTTTTCTCAAAGGCATTCAAAATTTTTAAGACCGGAAAGAGTCACCATTGTAGAAGCAATAGAATTGAAAGCTGATAGGTATAGTTAAATGTGCTGCAAGCAGAATGCTTTTATGAAACTTGTATTCATCTCCATTATAGTGAAGCTAATGACATCACTAATTACAATAGCGTTAGGTAAATATGTCTAGTTTGTTACAGGAAGCAGCTAGAAGCTGATGGCTTAGATGTTCATTTTCTGGAACTGGATATTCATTCTTTTCTTGATAAGCAGCTTGCTTTTGCATAAGTTGCTCCAAAAGTAATGTTTCCCATTAATTTCCATGGGAATTAAGACAGATAAAAAGAGCAGAACAATTCTATTTGATAAAGCAAATTCTCAGATACAAAACGCTTGTCAACAGTCATCACCATTAGCTAATTAGCATGGATGAGCTAATGGATGAGTTAATGGAGGCACTCTTCATTTCATGGTGTGACAGCTGTGCATGTCTGTCTGGAATGTGGCTTGCCTTTCATGTTGTTGTGGCAACTGCAGAAACAAACCACCTACAACCTCACTGTGCTCACATCTGCTGTTTGGTCTCCATTAAATATTCAGTAAGCATCAATGGATGTTAGTGGGAGCAATTTTTTTCTGCATGTAGGAATTCAGTGATAGACCTCTACTCCATACAAACTTCCACGTCAGATGCCATTTTGTCAGTCTGCCCCTCTGCTGCCGTACCACCATCTGCCTCTGATGTCATGGGTCAACATAATAAAATAGGAGGCATTATTTTGGTACAGCCTTCATATATGATGTAGTTTAAGTTGATAGCTAAAGGAGTGATGGAGTAAATTGTTGGTAAAGATGATGTTTGGGAGCTGTTTTGAACCACAGAAAACTTTCTCTTATGGACTAATGAGTGTGCTCATTTGAATTCTGAACTATTCTCAACTTGAAACCTGCTATATTTGAGACTCAAATAAGGTCTTTTGCATCCACAAACTTTTCCAGTGTCAGTTTTTTTCTGATAATTAGACAAATCACTGAGCAAAACTTCATACGAAAATGTTTTGAATATGCATTACAGGTGGTTCAAAACTTGTATTATAGTAATCTTACACTAAATTTGTTAGCTCAATGTGATGCTCAGTAGCTGATAACTTCCTATTATGTTGACAGGCTGTGGTTCTGAACTTACACTTTATTTCTTGTTTGCAAGTATTTTGTTATGAAGAGTTTGGAACAGTGGGGTGAGGGGGAGAATAATGTTGTCAACAAAATTTTTAATTTTATTTGAAAAGAATACTAAGAATGTGAGAGTATCCTTAAGGAAGATGTAGTCTGCCTGTGTTCCTCAAGTTACATGGGGGGGTCTGGGTGGGGGGAACCTATAGAAAGTCTTGCAAGCTGCCTGTTAGCATGTACTTTTCCCTAAAATAGTCATAAAATACATTACTATGGTTATTATCTGTGAGGACTTTTTTGTAATCCATTCAGGGATGTTTAGAATAAGTTTTCTGAGATGTTGCCTACAGTCTTGTGTGTGGCTAGGTGTTGTGGGGTGGAGATTTTGCATAGAGCTCTTTAAATATGAAAGTATATAATAGGTAGGATTTTGCACAGAAGTTGCACACTTTAGAAGTTTCTGCCTTTTTAAGGTCTAGAAAATGTCTTATTTTTGTATATATTCAAATGTTTGTATTTTGGATTATGGCTTAAATAAAAAATATACAAAATAAAAGCTTTTATTGTTGTTTGGATTTAAGATTAAGGTGTTAAAAATGCAGCCAGTTTCTTGGCATGATATATTTCTTCATCTCTGGTTGTGTAGTTAAATCTTAAGACTTTTTTCTAGCGGTCCCACTTGTGAATGTCAATGATGATGGATACTGAAATGGAATGTTTTGTCAACATTTGTTTTATTTAATAGGAGCACTCATGTAAACTCAACTTTTGATCCTCAAGTCTATTTAGCAAGCTTTGTATTGTCTATACATCTGTGCATTTAACAATTGATAGTTGCACGTGTCTAAGCTGACCAAGTAGGAAGCTGATAGGAGCTTCCATACAAGTGTTGAAAGCCCGGTCTGAGGCTACCTGAGGTGCTGCTGGAGGAATGAAGTGAGGCTAAAGAGTAGTAATTGTTGAGGACTGTGCATCTGGGTAGTGCTTGCTCTCTCAGGGTTGTGTTAGTTCTATTAAAGAGCTTCTTTTGTTGCTCTGATTCGCATCAGTAAGTAATTAAAATATGAACAGACTCTCTTCATTAGAGGTATTATTGAAACCTTTCAAATAACTGTTTTAATTACTGAGTGTTCCCATAAGCTAACAGAATATGTCTTCTGTTCTTTCTTCTCATGCGCTGGCCTCTGAAATCAGAATAACTACACACTTGTTTTAGTGCAGGTTGAGTGAAAACTTATGAGTATTTATACAGACACGTGGAAAAAGACCAGCTTTTCTGTAAGATTGGAATTTCAAAAGGTTAGTATCTGAAGAGAGCTCGTCAAGGGATAAGAGATGGAATTCAGCCTAATACGTTGTTTATTACAGTTCAATAAATTTGTTTAACTCCGCATGCTCAGTACCCTAACAGTGATGTTTATCTTCTAGCTAGTCCCTAATCTTAAATCTCTGATAAGGCATGAAGTTACCAGAAACACCTTCTTGTTTTGTTTTTGCTTTGTTTTTGCCTCGTTTGTTCTGCTGTTATTAAATGCTTTTTTTTTTTGTTAATAAAACTCGCTGCAAAACACATGCAGCTAGTTGCTCTACCAATAGTATTATTTCATTTTCAGTTGAAACAGTAAATATTAAGGTGTATTCCTAGTAGGACTAACAGTTAAAGAAAGCTGAAGGTTACTGACAGGTAAGTGGTCACTACTGATACATTCATTAGGTCTGCGATTGTGATATAACTGTTGAGTGGTGTTCAATTTGTACAATTGGTTACAGGATACATTGAGTAATAAAAAAAAATGTTATGACCATTGTGATGTCTTGGCAGCTGCATCCTTTCAAATGATTTTCGTGTCCTTAAGAATAACTTCTCCCTGCTTTTTGGTTATTTGCTGTTTGAGAGAACACTGCACATACTGTGACGTTGACTGGGACAGAAGAAATGGAAACACTCTGTTTCCTGAGCTGTGACCCTTTGAAAAAAGATAAATGAAATTGTAATGTGCCTGGAAGCAATCTGAAATTGTTCCAAAGAAACCTAGGCTTCCTTTTAGCCTTTGTGAAATCTGAAGATGCATGGTTGTTTAATTGTTAAGTGAAGCATTGTTGCATCTCAGTCAAGCTTCTGTTCTAATCCTGCATTTTCTTGTTCATATCCTGCAGATAACAAGAAAAAAATATCCCGGAAGGGGAACAAATTTGTATTATTTCTGTCCTGTTTCAAATTTGTTCTTTCTCACAATATTGTTACTTTTTTTTTTTCCTTTAATAGTTGTCTTGAATGTAATTCAGCTGTGATTTTTTGCAATAAGCTGGACATTATTCTGAGTTTTTTTTCACTGGATTTTTAGTAATAAATGATAGTAGTAGTCTAGACAGAGAATAGATGTCTCCTTAATCATATATCTGTTGATAGTTCCACTTTTCTCCATTTGCTGTTGTGTGACATGCACTTTAGGATGCAAGGGTGAACTTAGGAAGAAGTGTCTTTTGAAAAAAGTCTTTTGCATCAGAATGGGGGTACATCCAGCAGCTGAAAATATTGCAGTGGGCTTTGCAATTAGTCTGCAGATCTAGTTTCTTGGACCTCTGTAACAATATGCAATGGAAGCTTCAAAGATTCTTTTCTTACTGTAGAGTGTTGCTGGAAGATAATGGTTGTGTGAAAAGTTTCAGCTTTAAAAATAAATAAATGAAATGAACAGGTGAGGAGAATGTAGTTTAATTCTTAATGCTGTAATAGCACTGGTTGTCATAAAAGCATTTTTAGAAATAGAAATCAAATGGAAGAAGAAACCCTCCTAATGACCAAGTTCACAGGTTTATAAATTATATGAATAACTTAAAATGGGCGGAATAACTGGTGATAATCTAGTCTAACTATCCGTTTGAGTCAGGGCAGTCATCAGAATTGCATCAAGTTGTTCAGAGCCTTGTTCAGTAGAACTTGGAGCAAGTGCAAGGGTGTCAGTTTTACAGGCTCTGTACAGCCTGTTCTGGTGTTTGATTGTTGTCATAGCAGAAAAAAGGCCTTCTTAAATGTAATGAGACTTTCACTTGTAGCTACTGTTGCTTCTTGTACAATGCAAAACTGCCTATGTAAAGATTTAATTTGTCGTTGCTATAACCCACCCCTGGGCTAGCTTTCCACCTGAACAGCCTCAAGTCCTCAATTGTTCCCTGTACATTGCGTGCTCCAGCCCTTGACCCCTGTGGCTCTCCCTGGGAATCATTGCTGTTGGGCCACCTCCCTCTTGTACTGGGACTGCTAAGGCATGCAGTGAGGCTTCACAAATTTCAAAGAGTAATCGTTTCCTTTGACCTTCTGGCTACAGTCTTCCTAACACTGCCCAGTGGGCAGTTAGTCTTCATTGCTGCAAAGGCACACTGCTGGCTCATGCTCAGGTTGTTATTCATCAGCAGTCCCAAATACTTTTCTGTAGAGGCCAACTTCATCTTAGTTTCATCTTGTATTTTGTGAAGACGTGGCTCAAGTTAAAAGTTTCTATAGCTGAGGAATTGAATACTGCTCAGTGTATTGAGTTTAATACAATCTGTGCTCTGCACATAATTAAGATAGGTAGTCCTCACGAAACTTTGACCTCGATTTTAAAACAGTCTCTCATATGAAGTGGAAGACTTAATTATGTTTCTCCTTAAATTCCATATAAGAACAGAATCACTTCAGTGAGTTGTCGTGTATTTTGTAATAAAGACCAACTTCTAGTAATGATACTGACAACAGAAGAATCTAACTGGTCATTTGCTTTTATCTGTGGCTTCTATTGGGTAATGAATCTAATAAACACTTCTTAGAGGACTAACATCTTCAGTTTTCAGGAAGGTATTCCTAAGTGGATGTGTACAATTCAATCCTGGTATCTGCCTGACTGTTGTGTTTGGAACTAGAAGGGAAAGGTGTTAATAAGATACAGCAGTCTGTTATAATGAATTCTATCTCATGTCCTGCAATTGTCCCTCTCTATTGGAAGAATTTGATGTCATCTGTATGGGATTAAAGCATGGATGGATTTTTGCCCTCTGAATCAATGGAGCACTCAGATTTAGGGCTCGTGGAAAAGGAAGTCATATTGAGGGTTATGACTGAGAGGATACTGCTTACTATTTGTCAGGATGTAGACCAGTTCTTCATGTATGGCGAGTCTAATTGAAAAAAAGCAAAACAATTTGAAACAGTGTTCCACACACCCTCCACCTTACTTTCTTCTCGCCTTCCTCTCAAGGAAAACAACCCCAGATGGTAGCATGATGGCATTTGCTAACAAATACTGAATTGTTGGCTTCAGTAGGAATTAAAGGAGGGGGAAAGCATGGTCTGCTTCTGTACAGTGTAATTTTAAACTGTTTTTCTGTTAGCTGCTGATCCATTCTGCAGTTTCTGAAAATGCAAGACTTTGCTTTGCAGTTGTGACCTACTAGGAAAGACGAAGTTCTTAAGTGCTATTTGCTTCTAGGAGTAAGCAGCTCAATACAATCTGACATAGAATCTTCCACCACATTTGTAATGCAAACTGTGGAAAACAGCAGTTGCCAGACTTTACCGGGGCTGCCTAAAATTGGCAATGTTAACAAGATTGTAAATGTGGTGGGCGGTGAAAGATGACAGTTATTTATCAGCAATTAAATATCCTAATGCCCAACAGACTTATTTCTACTAGAAACTGAACTTATGAAACATTTATGAACCTGGTGAAAAATGCTGTCTGACATGACAATGGCAAAGTAAAGCAGCTGAATGACCTAAGCTGTAAATGAAATTGGAGGATAGGCAACTTTTTTTGTGTTAGATTTGTTAATTGCTGTACTACGTCTGCCTCAACTCTTGCCAAGTGCTTATTTGCAACTTCTGAATCTTTTTGTCTGCTCCTACGTTATTTTAACTGCAGAAAATATGTGGTCACTACTTACCTACATCTATGCCAGAGAGTTCAAATGCCTTCATATTCTGTTTTAGGTAATAGGCTGCTGAAAAGCCTAGTGGAATGTTTCCATGTTTTAACAGTGCTTGAATTCTGAAACTTAGGTGGGTATGTGTAAAATGTCACACTGAAATCTGCTGGAACATATGGAGTACTTGAGAACTTCAATATTAGAATGGAGGTATATCTCAGGCTATGAAATTAAGTTACCCTGCTGTCACATCTCATTGGTCTTATATTCACCTTAATGTACTGACATTGCTTCATCTGTGAAGCTGTGGTTTAGTGCTCACTGCTCTAAATAAAATACTTAATGCTTGAAAGTTCTGCTGTCTAAGGATCTCCGATTTCCAGTATACAGGTATATTTGGTAAATCCATATCACTTAATTTTATGATGAATTTGTTGTCAGTTTGAAGCTTTTGTGAAGTCCCTGTTATCCTTTCAGTGCATCTGCAACATCCGTTTTCTTCCTTGCCCTTCACTGTGCTTAAAGTCAAGATCTTTAATAATGCCTAACTGTTGTATGTAACCACAGAGATGGTTTTAATTAAGAGATGCGTAGATCCTGACCATTCCTCTCTTCCTTT